TTTAGTTGATATTATGCTAAAATTTATATGGATCAAAATTGTGAAATGCCATTTTATACTAATGTAAACATTAAAATACAAAAACAACGAGCAATTAGTTTACTAACAAATAGACATCGTTGCCAAAATATGATGAAATCACAAACATATGACGGATAATTTGTTTTAGAATTATATTTCTGAATAAAGTATGACTTGCTCTAGATTGATTATATTTGAATTTGATTTCGAAAAATAAAGAAAAACAAAAAGAAATTCAAAGATATATACGGGTGTGGGTATGAATGTGTACTTCCCATGTAAAAAAACTTATAATGATGAACGTGTAGAAACGCGTTTTGAAGAAATTATGACACGTTTTATTGACCAGGAATGCGTTTTAAAAAATAAAAAACGCGTTCGAATGCGTTTCTAAAGTATCAGAACGCGTTCAAACGCGTTTCTGTTGATGAAGAATGCGTTTTGTATTGTGATAAATGCGTCAGGAAAGAACAAGTTCCGAGTCAACAGTAATGCGTTCTCATGAATCACGTTGATATTCGTTCTTGAATAACTCGTTTCTATAGTCAAAAAATCAACTTAGATATGGAAGCATAAAAACGTTTAAAAAAAGAACGTGTTCACAAATTTTCGGAACGCGTTCTTATGTATAATGGAAACGAACATAAAATTAAATGAGATTTATGTTTTATAACATGATGCAATTGATAAAACAAAAAGTGGTGTACATTGAAAACTTGCATGTCTCAGTATGAAAGATTTTTTAAAAACTTTTTCAGACAAAAAGGTTGAACTCATCATAGTGAGTTGATGACTTTTACGAAGTATTTTAGTTTTCCTCCTTTTTGTTAGAATGTATTTTTGCTTATATATATTTCCTAACAGCACAGTCAAATTTTATTTTATGAAATAATGATTGCAGAACTTGAGATTATTCTTTTAATGAATGTTAAGTTATTTATTAACAAAAATGTAAAAATTGTTAGTAAAAAAAACAACAATTATTTTAACTACTTTCAGTTAGATTTGGCAATCGAATAAATGTAATTTCATTAGAATTGCTACATGAAAAAACCTTTTCAACTATAGTTGAAGGACTAATCTGTTTTAAACAATTATTTAATTCACCAATTAAAACATTTTCACATTCGAATTTCATTGTTCCAACATAGATAAAATCATAATGCCAATTGATAAGATCAAAGACTTGAAAAAATACTGGATTTTCATCGGTTTCGTTTTGTATAAACTTGTCGATAAGTGCATATTGTAATCTGTTATTGTCAATATCACGATAAAGTATCGCACAATCCTTTTTATTAATATTATAAGAATCATATTTAACGTTATTATAGACACAGCGACTAAATGACTTGGTAAAATTCATTTTCGATCTATCGAAATCTGAATATTTTTGTTCTTGTTCTACTTCAGTGATAATTTTGTTTAATCTGAATCGATTATCTTTATTCTTTTCTATATTATATTTAATACCTAAATTTTGAATCATCAGGTCATATAACAACGAATTTTCACTAATAGTTGCTAAATAGCACGATTCTTTTAACATTTGAAGATTGTTATATATTTCTTTTTCTTGATTTTTCGTTCCATTAACTGTTGATGTGATGCCACCTATAACATAGAAAGAATAATCAGATCTTATTTTCAGAAATGATAGTATATTTGTTACCTAATATGGATTCGTAGTTAAATGTAGAATATCCTTGTAGCGGGCCATAATCACGTACTGTTTCAGCTAAGTGAATTAATGAATGGATATTATTCACAATATGCCTCATACCATATAATGTTTTAAATTCGTGAACATAATGTTGCAGAAGTATATGCATTTCCTCTAATTTGCTTTTGGTTATTTGTTGATTTTCTCCAATATGCATAGCGAAAACCAATTGTTTAAAATGAGAATAGTAAATATCGGGTAAGATATTTTCGAATATCCTATAGTAAATTAATAGAATGGCACGATATTCGCTTGCTTTGTAGCGACTGTATAAACTAATATGTCTTGGAAGACGGATCGTTGATGATGGTGTTATATATTGTTGTATACGTTTATTAATTTTGTCAATATCTGATTGAATGGTCCATTGTTTTTCATTTGTACAAAATCTTCGTTCAAAGAAAATAGTCAACAAACGTTTCTAAAAACACAAAACAATTATTTGACAAAAAAGAACTAAATTTTATACCATTGCGCCACCGTAAACAGTATGTAGAGTATCAGAAAGAAAACCTTGGCCCATATCAAAATAAGATAAGCGATCTAAGCTACAAGGTCCTAGATAACCTTTTTTTAATTTATATTGCTCCTGGGTAGATAAATTGGGACTAATTAATAATTTTGATTCAAGCTCACGCACAGTTTGTTTGTAGTTTTCACTTGAACGTAGCCGAACTGGAGTGTCTTTGAAAGACGTTGGAAATACCCTAATATAATTTATTTTATTACCCTTTATGTCACCTCCAGCTTTCTTTGTGTTTCTTGCTGAAATTGGATTAGAAGGTACTGTTATTCCCTGTGCAAGAAAAAAGAGTTAATTTGACATAAAATTACGCTTTCTAAGAAAAATTACTTGAATTTCGCACTTCGAGCATCCAAACTCGGCGTTAGGTTCAGGTATATTCTGAACTAGCGAATTAGCTGGTTTATCGTTGATAGAGCCAATTAGAAAAACTTTGTATATGTGCATCTCACCTTGTATTTCGCATACTCCACCTTGTTCTAAAAGTTGTAACTGTTGCACAATTGGTTCCATCATCAACCTCATAATATTTCGTGTTGGTTTCCTGGAACAAGAATTAATACCGCCAATTATAACATTATTCAATAAAAATCTATGTTTAACATCGATTTCATTTACTGTCATAGTAATTAACCACAATGACTTAGATGAATTTGATGCAAGTTGAACACCATCGGCTGAAAACCAAAGAAAGAATTATATTATATATGAAAATTCTGAATCAACTTACTAGATAAAGATAAAGTAAATAATTTTGTATTGTTGTCTAACTTTTCATTATGTATCGTATGTTTGTATAAACGACCGTCGTCAATATTTTTTAACATTCTTGATGACATAATTGTATCAGTACCTGATGTACACATGATATTTTTCTCTCTTTCAATTATCTGCTCCAGTTGCTCTCGAACGTTGAACCATGTATAGATATAAGGTGATCGCAAGTAATTCTCTCCAATGTTACATGATGTATTTGAACATTTATTGTTTGATATTTGAACTGTTTCACATAATTGACATATATAAATTGTTTGGGATGATCTTTCATCTTTTTTCGTTTGATCTACATTTAAATTTAGTAATTTTCGAATCTCGTAAATAGATTTCGGAATAATGGAACTATTCGGAACAACTTTATTTAATAACTTAAGAATATCGACAATCAGTTGATTTGTACATTTATGTCGACGTTTTATCAAACATAAAATAACAGAAATATCACGAAGGGATAATGTTTTTTCTTCGTATCTAAAGATGGATAATAAAAAAATAGATAAAAATATGTTGCTAATTACATACTTAACGTCTAAATCTGTTTCATTCCCAAAATCATCTTTACCTTCCAAAAAGCTAACATTCATTTCATCATAAGAATAGATTTCGATTTCATTCACGTCTTCATCTGAATGTAACTTATCATAAACATCTTCATCCATTTCTAATTCATCGTCATCATCTATTATATTAACAAGCTCACAAGTATTTATGGATAATTCTTCATCTAATCCATTGACATCTGCTTGTCTCAATTCGTGATTGAATTGCCTTTGAGTTGTTGATAATGGTTCGGCTAAAGCATTCTCATGATGTTGTTCTAGTTCATTTGTATGCGTGTGTGAATTTTGAATTGAGCTTAATTGTTCGAATTTCGTTTGTGTTAATAATTCTTGCTGGAGCTCCTTCTTCTTAATAAACCTATTTATGAGATAAACGACAGTTGTTAAATAATATGAAAAGATTCTACTCACAATGGGTCGATTCGCGAAGACAGATAATTATCTCGATAACGAGTGTTTCTTGCTGCTCTCAACATTTTAGAACGATTTTCACTTTTGTAAATGCCATAAGGATTGTTTTTTTTTGGTCGCATTTCTTCACTAAAAGATGCAAGATTTATATTTATAGATCTTCTTTAATGTTTCATCTTAGTTTGGAAAAATAGTAATTGATCATACTATATCATTACATTAGGCAACACTTTAAAGTAATCATAAACAATGTAAACAATTAGAATACAATATAAGCGCATAATCTATACACTTTTAAGAAACATAAATAGGAATAAACATGTAGAAAAAAAGACTACACTAATAGTTATTAGACAGACAATTAAATTAAAAATGTTTCTTCAAATATCGACAGTTTACAATAAGAGACATTAACATGGAAATAAATATCTTAGTATCTCTCATTCATGAGAGAGAAAAATATTTTACACATATATACAAAGGAAAACTACAATCATTTACATAAAAAACTAGAGCATAAAAATAAAGTTAGTCTCCACTGTTTTCATCATTTACACCTTGAATGCTCGGTGTCTTAGCCGATCGTGTTGAATTAAGAGCAGTATGGTCCGTTACATTTTGGCCTCTAGCTTTCCAGCTATCTGAACGAACCATAGTTGACAAAGATGTACGTACAATATTATCTGTTGTTAAAAGTGACGGTCCGAATAGTTGTCGAACAAAATCTAAAGAAAAAATAAAAATCTCAAAAATTAAACAAATGTTGTTTGGTATTTACCTATAACGATGTCTATTTTATCTTTATCAATCAATTTCCAAGCATTTTGCATATCAATTAATTGTTCATAACCAGAAAAACTTCGAACTATCGTAGAAAGCAGGCATTTATGTCGCTTTATAATCATGTAACAATGTTTTCTTACCAATTGCACGAGCTGTTTTTATTCTATCTGTTTCATGTATACAATTATTAAATGCTTGTTCATCGATATTCAATAAATCAGCATATTGCTTAAAATCAACTTGACTTTTAATCTCTTCTTTATGTACCAATTCATACATATGATCAATCCAGTCAATAACAAGTGGTTCCGTAGGAATAGCTATTATAAAGAAAAAAACAAATTTTCAAAAACATGAATAAAGGATTAGAACCTACTCATTGATGATTTATGTAAGTTATCAATAATTTTATTGCATTCTTCTATTTTGTTTTTTAAATTTTTTATTATTGCGTCTTTTGCCTTTAATTTTGCTTGAAAATCGAGAACTATTCGATTTATATTGATTGTACTTGTGTTTGGTTCAGAGTTCGATGAAATCTTCAAACCTACATCTTCAGTTTTTGATAAAATTTGAATCGCAGAATCGTTGTCAGATGGTAATGACCTAGCTATTACATTGTTATTTGAACTTAATATCGATGTATTTGTTTTCGATAGTGATATCTCATCTATCGTCGTGGCAAAAGCTGTTATTGATGAATCAGATGATTCAGATGCATCTATTATGGATTTGCATTTCTTCAACTTATCTTTTAGTTTTGATACTTTTCCGACTGTGCTTGCTATTTTTCGAGATGGTACCGGTTTATACTTTTCAACTCTTAAACGAGATGATGATGAAAAGGTTGATGGTGTTTCAGATGCAACTGATGGTGGTAGTTGTGATGAATCAGGTAAATTTTGTTTAGAAGGTTGTCGAGCAGCAAACCGAGTACCGTGGGTATGTGTTGTAGACATCGATATCGTTGAATCTGAAAACAAAGATAACATGGCAATGGTAAATAAAACGAGTGCAAAATGAACGAATAAGTAGAAATGTACTTAAACAAAATATATCTGATATCAATATAATCGTTTAATAAGTGAATTCGATCAGTCCGAATGCACAAAGAAAAATGATCGGCACGTCGACCTCGTACATTCTGGATAAAAATAGAAGAATGACCAACACGTCGGTCTTGTACAATGAAAAAAAGATAAAGAAATAATTGATACGCCATTAACTTGAATATATAATTCATCTGACTTCGTGTATGTTAGATATAGATGGCACGCCAGAAAGGCAAAAGAAAGAATATATCATCTATAATGACGCAATATCTTCAAGAAGTCATTTAAAATAAGAGAACGATGTTGGAAAATTTTTCTGTCTTTTTACAAAATATGTTAATCGTATAAAAGTCTGATTAAGTGTTGATGATATTAGATATCTCATAACTGCTAAAGTTTGAATTCTCTCAAATAATATCATTTTTTGATACTATAAGATCTATTGAGTCATCTTCAAGTAGGATATAGTAAATCGTCCATACAATCATTATTTGATTTTACTCCACAAATTATTGAAACGATCAAACATAGATTGTGATACCATATAATACATATAATAAGTTGGTGGTAAATATTTCACGTGGTATACAGTTCGCATTCAAATTTGAATTAAAACTCAACAATCTAACATCGAATGAAAAATAAATTTTAAACCCCGAGGACGTTCAGTAACGAAACATTATATACTTATTTCCTATTATTATTGCTGTTATAATTTACGTCAGCTATTTGCTGAAAAACATTAACTTCATGAATACAAATTGATGTAGCTGACTCACAAAAAGTTTAAGGTGTACTTGAATGTATTGATCTAGGTATGTGCTTCAAAACTTCAGTAATACATCGATTTTTAGTGAGTAAAAGATTTTGTAGAAAGAGATTGTAAATTTGAATTGAAATATCTAAATTCGAATTATACAAACTTTTATAAGTTGTTTTTTTTATAATTTTGACTTAACAATTTTATTTTCCAACTCGAAATAAAAGAATTTTATTTTAATTGTTTTTTACGATTTCTATTTTGATTAGTTTTTACAATTTTCGTTTTAAATTATTTTTTTTACAATTTTAATTAGAAAAATTTTTACAAGTTAATAGAGTAATACCTCTTTCAATTTTATAATTCTGAGTTTTATTTCAACTCGAATTAGGCAACGTCTCTTAGTACAAGTTATAGTGAATATCCAAGTATAAACACTAGTTTTTTTAATATAAGTAGAAAATTTAACACTTAAGATATACGTAAGTTTAGCCAAGAGGTAAGTCGACTGCTTCGTATTTTCAAGGGTGTGTGATCGAATCTACATTACAGCAACCAACAACATATCAAAACGCGTTCCTGAAAACTTAACCTGGGATTTGTCGATACAAAAACGCATTGTACAAGAAATGAAACTCAATTTAGAATGAAACAGACTACTTGAGATAAATGATAAAAGCAAGAAGAAACATGTATCTAGATTACATAACATATAAAAAGTCAGTTTTTTTTAATTAGCAAAAGAACGCATTTATACTTGGAAAAACGCGTTTCTCTTGAACCTATTATTCACATGATTTTAACGTTCACAGGAAACGTGTTCATCAAATATTTTTAACGTTCCCTAAAAACGTGTTCTTACATCACTTTTAACGTTCCTTGAAGATGCGTTCTTGAATCCCTTCCAGCGTTCTTTTAAAATGCGTTTTGTTATTTTAGAACTATTCTTCTGAAACAGCGTTCTCAACTCATCAGAACGCGTTTTGTTTACATAAGAAAAACGCGTTTTTGATAATCAAAACTCGTTCTAAAATAATGACAAAAGCGTCTTAACAACGCATTTTTTTATTTTAACAACGCGTTCCTATCCGTTCTTGTTTTAATCTTCTTTTACATGGGTTGTAGATATGCATAACATGGGCACATCTCAAGAGTTGTTTCTTTATTCGTTGTTGGCGAGATTTCGTTTGCATACGAAGCCAGAGATAATAGTGGATATGAGATTAGAATCAGAAGAAGAGTTACACACTTATTCATACTCTTATGATCTCTACTATCAAAAAATATTTGTTTTTCAATGAAAATGTCATTCTTGAGTGAACGAACTGACCTCTATGATATTCATGCATGAGTAAACGATAAACATTTTCTATCTACAAAGTTTCGTTTGTTTTTGACTGTAGGTGTGAGTGTAAAAATCATGAAAGTGATTATGATGGGACTTGAAGATAGTATTTTGCAATCTCAAAATACACTATAATGCCTATTGAAAACATCCAGGATTTTTCACAAAAGATGTTAGGATAATGAGAGTTTGAAATGATGAAAATTTCAGCTCGATCCGAGATATTTTTGTATTAGGTAGAAGGTTTTCAGTAGAATTACTCGGAGGAGTATGGACAAGAATGATAAATGGTTGTCTTTGTGACGACTATTGCTCATCAATGACCAATGAATTTTCAAAGTAAAATAGTTTAAAAGATCAAGCAATATTTACTCTATTTCGAAAACTATCAATTGGTTTGACAAAATGTTGTCGAAAGTATTTATGAAGTTTTTCTGAAAGACATAATATTTGTGATTCATTAGGGTATAACATTTTATGAATCATTTCTTCTTGAATGAAATTAAAAAAAAATATTTATTGTTCTACATTGAAGTTTTTTTTATTCATTTATCAATTCAAATATAAAGCTATTTGTACATGACACAAGCGAATAGGTTAAGCATAACTATATTCAAAATCATATTAGAATTCGCTGACATATAACATCATATTACAACGTTATGTAGACTTTGATGAAAAACACAGTTTTCTGCAAAACGCTTTTATAAACTAGTTTTAATGTTCTGATTCAAAAAGTTCATTCAAATAAAAGTAAAATGTCTAACTAGTTGTCATTTACGAATATGTATGACCAAAAAATAAAGCAACAACACAAATAATAACCTATAATGATACAATGGAGACAACAATAAACTGTGTAAACTTGTATTGTGGTCTTTCATTTCGAAAATTGATTACAGGCACTTTATATGATAGTCTCTGATAATATTTTATCAGTCCTTAATGGAAATACAATCATGCATTTCAATTTAAAAGTTACATCAAGCAATTACAAAAAAAGGATAGTTTGTTTTTTTGATGAACATCTCTTTGTTTTTTCTACATAGGAAAAGTTGATCGGAAAAAAAACAAAAGAAAAAGTTTTGTAGCTGCTGACGCCATACATAAAAAAATCATATGATTGTATATCTATCAATGACTAAAATTTGATGTAGACCGCGTCCTATTGATCTCGAATCTGAAGTCGATCAAGTCCGACTGGGGTCCGAGTCTGACAACTTTCTGATAAACGGTTCCAAAAATTTTGACAGGACGAGCGGGTGTGGGTGTGAGGGTGTGGCTGTGGGTGTGGGTGAATGAAATATTTTGACCCACACCCACACCCACACTCTTGGATCGAATGACAATATCCCATACATATACTCTATTTCTCTCGATTTTCTCTCAGTCACATTGTGATTGCCTTCTGTGTATTGTTCATTTTTGATCTGCTCAGTTCAGAAATTAGTTGTGTTCGTACCCACATCCACACTAATTACCTGTTCATGTCTAACAAAGTCCACTCTTCTCTTTTATCCCCATACTTGTTTTCCGTTGCTTTGCGTACACAATTTTGTCGAGATTTTTTCCCCAGAACTTTGAAGCAATATCTTTTGTTCAGAAAATTGATGAACGACCCCAAAATAGCTCTGTTCGGGTCTCAATACTTGATCTCAAGCCGAAACGAAGAACCTGCTCGATGGAACTTTTCAACTCTATCGATTAGTGTATCACGCTCTACGTTTTTCAGTTTCAGAGTGACAATCACAAACAATGAAAAGCTAGCCTAGCGATTTCTTGCCATTAAAAGTAGGTGTGCGGATTTTTGACTAAGAAAAGAACCGATGAAGGATATTTTTACGAGCACTACAGCAAAAGAGAAAGATTATTTGTTTGCTAACATATAAGTCAGTGTGAATTGTGCCTTATGTTAAATCAGTGACGAGGAGAATAAAAAAACATGCATATATTTTATCGTGTCTTCTTAATTGCTGACGAAAATAAAAGCAATTACTAGGCTGACAGTGTGGAAGAGGACTGAAATTTTGTCCGCAATTTGAATGTGTCCTATTTTATTTCACCGTATATCTCACGCGCTCGCTTGCAAAAGTGCCAAAAGATAAAAAATGGAGTCGAAGGCGTCCGCTAAGATATGATTGATGTGTGTTTTTGCAGCCGTCATTGCAACGCATGTGTACGATCATGATGCGTTGTAAAAACAGATACAAGATCCGAAGTTTTCTTTAAAAGTTTGAATTTTCTAAATAAATTTCTCGATAGAGACTCTCCGAGGCTATGGTGTCAACGCGTAAACTCATACTTTTTCATATTGTAACAGATAAATAGAAATCGTCAATCCCTGACACCTTTTTTCATAGGTTCTTTTTCCTTCACCATTCATTTTTTCTTCTTGTCGAACTATTTTGAAAACATTTTGGAATCTTTTGTCTTTCTCTCTCTCGCGCAAGTGGTAGGATTTTGTTGGACCTACCCAACAATTTGTGTGCACAGCTAAATAGTGGGAAAATTAAACCTAGGTGATTCACAATAAATCTCTCAATACGTGATATTTATGATTTCAGAAGCATATAAATCGACCCCATGGCTCGTCGGCTACAAGGAATATTTAGTATGGAATCAGTTTTGATTATGGCTATTTTGTTGACTTGTTTTTCAATGGTATACGGGCAGAATATGCCGTTCATTCAGGATGGACGCTACAATGCTCAGACAAAAGCAATTGAAATAAATGTTAACTATGGTGGCGGCTGCGCTGAACACAAATTTCAATTAAAGATTGACTCGTGTCTTGATGATTCCTATCCTGTTCAATGTGATGCCAAGCTAATTGATCTTACAACAAATGATTTTTGTGAAGCGTTCATTCATCGCAAGGTCTCAATTAGTCTCCGCGAATCTGGCTTGGACAATGGTTATTACACAGGCGCTTCTATCCAAATCCAGGGTGCCGGTGATTCCAAAGCCACTATTTATCTTCCATGATAATGCTCGTCTCAAATATCACCTTTAGGCGGAGTGTGGTACTTTCCTATATTTTCCTTTCCTTTGAAACTTTTTGTGATAACAGTAAGGGTGTGGGTGCAATACTAGAAAACAAATTTATTTGTCTTGAAGAAATAAGCTAAATTCTCTGATCTTCTCAATTGCTTCCCAGCAGTCGATGTCAAAGAATCTGAATTCAAAGAAATGCTCTTTGTAATAAGAATAAAAATGCAGAGTTTAATGATCAATGAGTTTAATTCTCTATTTCTCACTTATCATGAGTAAATATGGACAGCCTACTAAATCGCTGTCTCCAATGATAGGACTTCATATCGATCGATGGACTCTCGAAGAAGTAGTATTTTTTCTAATCCCCTACTCGAGCGAGCTACCCCAGTGCATGTATTGGTCTCAAGTAATGGTTACCGTTATAGGGTTAATTTTTCATTCTAAACACGAATTTCAAATGGAAATGAGCAAAAATGCAAGCTTAACATTTTCGGACTAGAAGAATTTTTTAGAGTGTGTGGGTGTGTGGGTATGGGTGTGTGGGTGTGGGTGTGAGTGGGTGGGTGGATCTGCGTGTACATAAAGACAGGGCCTATACCCACACCCACACCTACACCCACACCCAGTCCTTCTAAATTCTGTATGTAGTGCAACGATACTCACATAAAAAAGTATATAAGATAAGATAAGTAAAATCTTCGCATTATCTAACAGGACGAAACAAACGGTCTCACACCCTAAGAAAGTTGCAGCAGAGAGCAACATAGAATTCAAGTTTTTACGGCTATTCTGTTAACACTTATTTGACTGTGGTAAGTATCTTCTGAGAATAAATTGAATAGCAAATGATATTAATTTAAAAATCCTATATATAGTAGAAATATAATGAATTGAAATCAATGGCCGACTATTTTTTTGATAAATTGTCTGATCGATGTTGTAACTCATAACAATAAATTAGACTAATGGCTTAAAGGTTCGGACCTTATGACAGCACATTTAGACGAATGAAACTTATGGAAAACTGAGGCAAGCAGTGGGAGAGATGGAACACAGCTTTTACTCACACAGCTATGTGCAAGCAGCGAAACGAACAAGTTTCCGCCGTGTCTCATTGCGTCCAAATGGGGAAAAGAACGTGTGTCTTAGAACCGTGATATAGAATTCAAAGAAGAAGGTATCGGTCTAATAAGTAGTCGTAACGAACCGATAAACAACTTCAGGACTTTGGCAAACATAACAGTTGCCTGGTATAACGCTCCAGCATGCATCACTATTTCATTTCGAAACAAAAGGTTATGGGGGTTTTCCACGAGTTCCTCAATGAGACGCCCAAAAAGTGAATATAAACAAAAATTCGTATCGCAGAAAGAAAAGCTTTTCACCGTCATGAATTATTGCCTCTAATTTAAGAAAACAGCTTCGAAGAGAAATGCTTTCATGCAAACATAAACAGTTGCCTATCACGCAGCTATCCAAAGGGCTGATGGTAGAATGTTTCGTATTGCTTAAAGCTGCTTTATAGACAGTGCAAATTTATGTGTACAATAACAGCGTGTGAGAGGAAACGCGAAGATCTTCCACCTGTACAAAGATAACAAGAGAAAAGCTAAAAACCTTCGCGGAACATGCCATTTCGTTATTGCAGTTGCCTTAAGCGTCGAGCCATGTACACCTCTTACAGACAAGCATAGCATTTGCGCCCGCATCAAAGTATGAAAAAGCAGCCAAAAGTTTCGCCCTAAAGGAAAGTACACAATGCAAGACTAAAAAAATACTTGTGTGATTTACCATTTCAATAGAATGAGTACATATAGCTTCGAGCCCTATGCACTTTTATCTCTAAGAGCTTTGAAATCTAAAATGCGGGCACCATTTCGTTAGTAAGAGTGGCAAAGACTTAAGATAAAATCCCATGAAGAGCAGATAGGTTTACATCCTTTGCCGAAGAAGTCATTGCAGAACAGTAAAAGTCAACAGCGAAAGGTTAGTATGAGCTTCGTATCTCGGACTACTTACATATATCACCGAGAACGACTTTTCGGCACATGCGTACGAATAACAGGCACTTGCAACGCTTTCACGAAAGAGATCGTATTTTTAGAAAATGACAAGACGATTTGCATCAGATATATAGGAAGTGGGTATGAGTGTGGGTGTAGAAGTGGGTGGATGGATGTGGCTGTGTGGTGTAGCTATGGAATGTGGCTGTGAGGTGTGGCTGTGGGGTGCGGCTGTGGGGTGTGACTGTCGGTGGGAATAAACTAAATACTCACAGGCACAGACACACACCCACATCCACACTCATATTCACGCCCACACCCACACCCGAATAGTTGCTTGAAGACAATATTAGTTCATAGATGAAAGCAGGATAGGGACACTTTCTATGTAGGTGTGGGTTCGGAAAAAGAGAAGACCCAAAGCCACCCACCCATCTATATCCACAGCAAGAGCCACATGCCACACCCATACCCAGACTGTCACCTACACCCACTTCCACACCCTCAAGTCAGTCGTAAAGCGAGTATCTCGACACCGAATTTTCGCTTTCTTCACTTTGCGAAGCTCCAGCAAGATAGAGAAGCATTGTACAAACACAAAAAAGGACAACCTGAGATTGGAACGTTGGGATATTTGCGCTGAATGCTCACGGATTTGGGTGTCAGTAGAGGCGTGAGTGTGTGAGTGAACTGTAAAAAAAATAGGTGTTTTACTGAAACTCTGCCCGGGATAAGAATCTTTTTGGTTCCGTACAAAATTACTGAGCTTTTTTTAGTTCCGTGCGAAAATTACGGAACTTTTTTAAGTTCGGCAATTTCGTATGGAACCAAAAAGGTTCTTATCCTGGGTACATGTTCGGTAAAACATCTATTTTTTTAGAGTTTGTGGAGCGTATAGACCAAGGACAGTTCCCAGTTCTATGAACTGTATATTTTCTAAGAACTGGGTATAGCGACCAGTTCTTTTTGGAGAACTGGTTAAAGTGACCAGTTCTTTGACGAGAACTGTGTACACCCGGCAGTTCTTTTTTAAGAAACTGTACACACTCGGCAGTTCTTTTTCGAGAACTAGCTATTGTAACCAGTTCTTTTTCAAAGAACTTGATTAAGCGTCCGATTCTTTTTCAAAAACTGACTATTGTGACCATTTTCAAAGAACTGGTTGAAAAGATCAGTTCCTATCAAAGAACTGGTAGGCACAGATCAGTTCTTTTAAAAGAACTGGTTGGACAGATCAGTTCCTATCAAAGAACTGTTTGAACAGTTCTCAAGAGCGGAACTGATATGAAACTGCCCTAGGTCTAGGAGCGTATGTATGATTGTGATGTGAGCACCGGTGTGGATGTGTTTCTGAGTGTCTGGGGGTGGGTGTGAGTTGTGTCCTTTCTTCAGTGGCACTAATACTCACCTAGACACTCAGAAACCCATCCGCACCGGTACCTACACTCACAGTCATACCTACGCTTCACGTCCACACTCCTACTGGCACCCACACACGTGAGCGATTCCAGCGCAAGGAGCCCAACGTACTAACCCTATAATGTCCCTTTTTGTGTTTATACAATTCTTCTCTACGTTGCTGGGGCTTCACAGAGTGAAGAAAACGAAAATTTGATGTTGAGATGCTGACTTTACGATCGTTCTGATAAGGCATACTTATGCAGCGGTAGGGTAAAAATTTTTCGTCCTGTGGATGATGCATTAACCGTTAACAGTCATGATGGGAGCATGTTCTTTTATATATAAATTTCGTGGCCTTTTATTACTCTCTGCTCCACATATCTCCGTTGTTCGAGTTTACTCAGGGTGTGGATGTGGGTGTGGGTGGGTGTGGGTGTGAGGGTGTGAGTGTGGGTGTGGGTGTGGGTGTGAGTGTGTTGGTGTGGGTGTGGGTGTGAGTGTGGGTGTGGGTGTGAGGGTGTGGGTGTATGGGTGGGTGTACTCACTTCCACTATATTCATACCCACGCCCACACCCACAGCCACAGCCACAGCCACAGCCACAGCCACACCTACACCCACTCCCACACACTACCCACACCCACACCCACACCCGGGCCGGGTCACCGGGTCGAGTGGCCCGTTTCGAGCCCTGATTGACACGAAGAAAATTAGTTCGAATTATTTTAGAAATATTACTTTGTTCTATTCATCCAATTCCTCGACATTTTCCTATTGGTCTATATTCTGAAAATGAAAAAACGAATTCAAATTTAACAATAACTAATCATTCTACACTGAATTCAATCTCTTTAAAATACATTCCTGTTGATGTTGCACTTGGTTTACCGAGTAAGGATTTTATTTGAGATGTTTATCGATAGTTTTTGAATTTTTACATTTGAATATAGTGTTTGGTCGTTTGTATATGTGGTATCGTTTTATTACATTTCATTCCTATTTGGTTCAAGATGCATCATCACAATCACTTGGCTATCTTAATTGAGTATCAATTGATTTTTTTTTTATTATTAAAACTTATTTTCAACAATCTCCAACATTTTGTTTGGTAATATTTTGTACAATTGTCATTACTATTGGTAGTTGGTCATTGCGTGCATGTGATTTTACATCGGTCAATGAACATATATCGATATTCGATGCAGTATGGCTCTTTATTGGACCATTTACTACAGTGGGTATGTTTCGAATCGGAATAGATCAACAAGAAAAAAAAAAAAGTAAAATTCTATTACGTGTTTCAGGTTATGGAGATTTGACAGCGGTGACCTATTGTGGACGAGATAAATCAAAACTTATCAATAGAAAACACGACAAAATGATCAAATGTTTTCTCGAGTCGATTTCAGGATAAATTTCTTGCATGATTCGAAATACCAATAGAGAAGATTGAAAATATTTTCAAAAGTGTTGAGAATTTTACTTTTCGTAAATTTTTGTATTTTCTCTATCATATTACTCTGAAATCGATCCGAATGAAAAGTTGATAGTTCTACTAATGTTAAACTATTTAATTCGAAATATTATCATCATTAGGTGTAGCTGCCATAGCAAGTACAATTGGTATTTTGGTTGCGACTCTACTTACAGCTGCCGTAGCCGAAAAACTTGTCCTATCTCAATGGGAAAAATATGTTCACAATTTTGTTTTAAATAGTGAACTAGCCAAACAACGTACGCATCAAGCAGCCAATGTTCTTATATATGCATGGAAAATGTGGTATTTAAAAAAAATGAATGAGAAACGATCGACTCGATACATAACAGTACAACGAAAATTTTTCGAATCCATCTATATTATTAAACAAATTAAAGAAAAACAACGAAAACTAACTGATTATTGTGTAGGCTTAGCTGAATTAATGATGATTCATCGTGAGACAAGTATAACAATTGATGAAACTGTTAAACAAATGTCTACAATGGAATTGAAAATGGAAAATGTCAAGAAAAAACTTGATGATGTCAATCATACAGGACGAAAAATGCATAAAACATTAAATCGATTGTTAGATAAACGTCTAATATGATGAATAATAGAGAAATTTTTTCAATAAAAATTAGCCAGTTCATATTTATTATTTAGAGGTTCTTGAAGTCGATTACGACTGTCTAACATAAATATATAATGAATGATTATGTAATTTAACAACAAGAATTTTCTCGTTACTCTCATGCCTACCTTACTCGTCCTCACTCATTTTAATATATCGCGAATTTGCTTCAGACGAAACTGTAATGGTGTTTATTATTTATAATATCGAACGTTCGTTTAAACTCCTACTTTCCACTACAACTTAACAGAGAGCGATTTCGTAAGATTACCTTTGGTATCTATTGGTTTTTATAAATCGTAATCATTATTATTCTTGATTTTATTTACCATGTTAACATCATGACGAGATAATATATGTAATAGGAGACTATTGGGTGTGGGTGTGGGTGTAATTCTAGTATTCTCCAACTCCCACACCGACCCACCCACACCCGACACACACTGAACATCATATATATAGATGTCGGCAAAGATTAAAATCATTTAAAGATTTCCTGTGAGTAAGGATGAACTCGTGATTCGATCATATAAGATCAATAAATGAAATATGATGATCATATATTCATAACACTCCTCTCTCTCTCTCTCCGATATATAGCTAATTTCAAATAAATGCAAAGTTTTTTTCTTCGAGATTTCATATGAATGAATAAATTTTGTTGTGATGAAATTGTTGTGGCTTTTGAAAAACATGACAAGAAAAAAATAAACCTTTTCTACTTTGTTCTGATATTCGATTGATCCATGATGCTTTATCAAAGTCTCTTCTTTTACCTTCATATAAAATATATAAATTATCTTTCATTTCAATATTGTTTTGAAATGATCCATCGTTATAAGCACGTAAGACATTGCTATTGTAATATATTTCTTTTCCCATTTGTCGTAATTCTGAGAGCATTTTATCAGCTTTGGAAGGACTATGTTTTACTATTGCATTGTTTGTATCAATATCAAATGTAATAATTCAATAACCACCAGGTACTAAACTATTGAATATATTACGTGCTGCTCTTGTACTATTCGGTACATGCTCCATAACTGATACAGAAATAGCGATATCAAAAGTATAATTCAATAATCGTATGTCATCTTCAATATTGTATGTTGCAAAAAGTACTTTCGGTATAATATATTTGTTTGGATATAGTCCATTTTTGCTATTGCCATATTTCATTGATTGATTTCATGAAATAATTTTCCAAATGACTCGTGACTATCAATTGCTAGAAGAAGTGATTCAGGTCGATCTTCTATTACTTCATAAATAATCATCCAATCAATAAAAGTCACACCAGATCCAGCATCCAATATAAAAAGATCTTTATTATGAGGAGCATATTTTTTGAATTGTTGCGATAATAAATGTATATTCCCATCCTCGTGACCAACTATGTAAAGGATCAGCTACCCATAATTTATTATAGCTTGATAGAATATTTTTGGGTGTGGATGCGTGATATCTCATCTACAGGGTGTCCCAAAAGTCCGTCGGAAAAGTTAATTCAAATA